AAAAAGAGGAGGATTAGCACAGATGTTAGCTCAGGGTTGATCTTCTTCACAAAAAAAAAAAAAAAAAAAAAAAATTGTTCTAATAGTTTCTTAGGCAAAGATAAAAGATTTTGAACTTCCAATACTAAACCAAAAAAGAAAGCCTATGATCTAATCATCACTTTGAATGAGATTCAACGAAATACACTGGTTTAGATATGAGTTTCCAAGTTTCTTTATATTGTGGCTGACTATCCATCTAACCCATAATTTCTGCCCTGCAAGAGCTCATAATCTAGCAGTGGAACTAAACATGTACATGAATAAATTATAAGGCAGAGTGACAGTTTGATGAGTACAATAAATAGAAATGAAAGAATAATTAGTACAAGAAAATAGCATCTGTCTTTAAGAATGCCAGATAGAGGACTAATATCAGCAAGAAACAAAGTCATAAAATAAAATAATGTGTTCAAGAAACTGAACATATATGTGGGGTCTGGCAACGTGGGCATCAGTGAGGGAGAGATTGGGGATAAGGCTGGAGAAGTAGGCAAAGAATTCATCAAATTCATCTGCTTAGAGAGCCAGAGAATATTTTTAAACAGGGTAAAGAACCCATAAGCAATTTGTATTTTAGAAAGCTCACTCACTTCGACAAAAGTGTGGAGGTTGGTTTGGAGGGAGGCAAGACTAGAGGCAAGAAGACTGTTACCATGACCCAGGTACAAGACGATGAGGAGAGGACTGAAGGCAGAGACCGTGAGAATGGAGAGAGGACAGATTTTACCCTTAAAAGCCATTTATATAGCACTTATCACTTACCTGGTTCTAAGGGCTTTAGTGTATTTATCCGTTTAAGCCTCAAAACAATGCTATAAGGTAGTTGTATTACTGTCTTTATTTTACAGATGCAGAAAATGAGGCACAGAGAAGAGATAACTTGCCGAAGATTGCAGAGCTGACGAGTGGTGTAAACCAAGATTTGAACCCAGGCAGTCTGCTTCCAGAATCTGCACTCGTAATCACTCTAGCACTACTTACTTAAACCAAACAAACAGAATGTTTACACTAGTCAGAGAAAAGGAGGGGTAAGAAGGTGAATGAGGGCTCTGTTCACTCACAAATGTTTACTAGCACCTACTACATATCACATGCAAAGAGCGGGGAAAACAAAGACTAATACAGAGCCCCTGCCGTTCAGCCAGTCATAGCCAGAGCACAGGGAAGAAAAGCAGAATAGAGAGATGCTGCTAGGCAAGAAGGCAGGACCAGACAGATGATGAACAGCCTGCGTATCAAGTTTACATTCTCAGATTTGATCCCAAAGGGACTCATTTAAGGATTTTAAGCAGAGTAGTTTCTTGTTACGCTCATTAGTATAAAATACATTATCACCAAATTTAAAACAAAATTTCTTGATATAACAGAAATAACATACCATTTTAATTAATGAACCTCATTAACATTTATAAAATACAATGATATTCCTATTTACTTTGGATAATCCCCCCCCCCAAAGGGAGGTAAAGGTCCATACCTTCCTGTCTTTAACCAAAACTGGAAAGAAAATGATATTGCTACTAACTTTTTGACCTGAGTTTATTCCCAGTAATATATTAATACTGCCCATCTCATTCTGACTTGAAAGGATCTAAAGGAACTTCAGATAAATTCCCATTATACATGGGAAATCTCTAGGAGAGTACCTGGGAATCTAAAAATTTAACACTTCCCCTGGAGATTCTGAACAAGAAAGTTTGTGAAATCTCACACTGTACAACGCTAGCTTGAATCATGAAGCACTTGGAAAAAAAAAGGAGGATGGAATCTTTGCTTTAAAATTGCCTAGGTTGGGGGCCAGCCCCGTGGTTAAATGCGCACGATCCACTGCTGTCGGCCCAGATTCAGATCCCGGGCGCACACCGATGCACCACTTGTCAGGCCATGCTGTGGCGGCATCCCATATAAAGTAGAGGAAGATGAGCACAGATGTTAGCCCAGGGCCAGTCTTCCTCAGCAAAAAGAGGAGGATTGGCATGGATATTAGCTCAAGGCTGATCTTCCTCACAAAAATAAAATAAATAAAATATAAAGTAAAATAAAATAAATAAATAAATAAAATAAAATAAAATTGCCTACGTTGGCT